TCAATTCCAGTGATTCACTTTAGCTGCCGAAACCTGGGAAGGATCAGACTCTTGGTATCCTCTAATGGTGCAATGAAAAAAAAAAGCTGTAAGGACAGAAGTAGCCTTGAGCTGCTCAGCCTAACTGCTCTGCAGCAAGCCCTCAGCTCTTGGGGGGAATCGTTGCCTAATTAGAAGGCAGTAATGAAGAGAGGGCACACGGAGCATCCTATAGAGACACTTCCATAAAGCCTGTGTTGGCAAGTCTGAAGGAATTCCCTTGCCTTTTGTTCATGGCTCTGAGATCACAATCCAACACTGCAAAATCCCACCAAAAATCACAGCTGATCTTCCATGGCTCACCTGTACTATGCTGACTGCTGGAAGTGATTGCTGTGGGAGAGTCTAATCTCACTATAAAACTAGCATAGTAATTTAAAGGTGATCAGAATATATATATTCCAGATGGTTGTACATGTTGGTTTCGAAGTATTGCTGCATAAATGGTATTCGTATGAGAGAAAATCAAAATGCTGTAATTCTTTGTAGTAAATAAGAAACCTTGAGAGTTATGATTCTTATAAATGATCTTAAAAAGTACTAGTCTGTCTTTTTTTTATATAGTGGTGATAACTCTATTCAGTATTCAGTCATTGCAAACATATGATAAATACCATGTGCTAACAGAAAAAAAAGATAAAAGAGAAAATATTTTTGACATTTTTATCCCCAAAACTGCAGTCTGTGTTTAAAAATGAAAGTGAGATCCTAAGGGAAAATCTACCTTGCAATTATTAAATACTAAACTTACGAGGCAATATTTTCTTGGGTTGGGTTTTCTTGGCTTTCTTAGCTTGCAAATATCCAATCCCTTCTCTGCGACAGCAACAATAACACACTGTAAACTCTCACAGGTAACCTTACACAAAATTTGTACACCAGAATGCCATAAAGTTCTCTATCTCACAAATAGGTTAAAGAAGGACACCAACAGAATAAGGATAAATGGATGTCAGGAAAATACATAATAATTAAGTGCCATATATCCAATGTGCACAACTCCAATCTCACAGCTTTTGCTGTACTCTCCATAATCTACTAGAAGAAGAAATGGTAAACTGCCTTTGATACTCAACCCAAAAATTCACCAGAAATATTAGCCTATTATTATGAGATTTTCATTCATTGAGGAAATTGAGCAATCTCTCCAGTACTCAGGATCAGAAGGCTACACAGTAAAGTTGTTTTTATCACAATGGTCAGTATTTTTTTCTCAGAGAGTGCAAAGATTATATCGATCTAGCCTTAAACCACCACAGAAAATGGAACATTCTCTGCATTTGGGGCTGTAATTACAGCTTAGTAAGCAAACGGTATTTGTGCATCCACTCTCGGATCTGCAAACATGGAGTATCTTTTCTGGTACAGACACATTCCTTACTATAAGGATTTATTTTTTAACCTCTAAATAAATAGCATGGATCTGTCCATCTGCTAGGAATAACCAACTTTTGACCACGAGCCTGACACAAATAGAAAGCTCTGCACAGATTTTCACAGACTATAGTTCAAAACCTGAATCTGTTTGTTTGCAAGTTTAAAGCCTCATGGCTTATGCATAGCTAAAGAAATATATTTTAACACTTCGATATTTTCAAAGTGACTATAATGCCAAAATATCTTTTTGATATTGAGATAGGAATTTGTGGCTCAAATCATTTGAGAAACAAGAATTCTGGTTTACTCTACTCAATCTTACTTATCAAGCAGATCGAAAGGTGTCAAAAATCTTGCAACTCTCGGGTGAACTTTTAAAGTTTAAGCTCCACTGTATTCAGCTCCCAATTATCAACATCTTGTGGTGATTTCAGGAGAACCAGACTTCCACCCTGATCTCTAACTAGACAACACCAAGATGCATGTAGGTTGTCACCAGCATGAAGATCTTACTGAGAATAAACACTAGAAACAGCTGTCAACTCAGAAAGTACATACTGCTTACAGAACATGCAAAACAACTTGACTGGAACATGGAAAGTGCTGCATTTATCTTTGGTTTTCATATATTTTGAAGTACTATGCTGTTTCACAAGAAAAGGGAACTGCTTTTCCTATAAAATGTTCATTTCAAGATAAAAATGTATTTACCTAAAGTTTTAGATAACCTATCATTACCTTTCTTTGATTTAGGTCCATTATTCACAGCTCGGGAAATGCTAAAGTAAATCTTTCCTGTTGACTCGGAAATAGAAGGCTAATCAGGTGGCTTGTTCAAGTAGGCACGGGCCACATTGTCTCTTTTTCATCCACAAGTTCAAAGGGCCTCAGTCATATTTACAGACAACATAAGTTTGTCAGGGAATTAGTATGAGAGTTGCTATGATTTTAGATTGTTTGTGTCACAGATTCCCAATTTCCCCTTTTACACTACTAAGATTCCTGGTAACATGTACTAATACCAATGATATTCTAAAAACTGACCCACAAATTAGATTTAAAGAAAAAGTTCCTTCATACGTCTGAACACATCACATTTCTATCATGTGGAAATAAAGCACACATACAGGACCATTCAGACACTTACCACTAAGACTTATACATTAGGACAAGGCCCCTCTGTACCACAGCGGCAGAGCAGGTGAGCCCCAGAGATGTGCTACAGTTTATAGAGAAGATATGGACTTTATGCAAAAATTAGCACAAATTGTACACTCTGTGTCGTGGAGGTTCTGCATTATCGCAGCAGCTTCTTGTGTGGCCTAGTAACATGACTTACTATGCTACCATCCCCAAACTACACCTTCAGTCTGTAAAATAACCTCGTGAAACAAGTCTTAAGTTCCCGTGCTCTCACCCAGCTAACAGTGAATTAACACTGGCACATGCTAGACGTCAGTTCCATTACAATTAGCTGGTAATGCTGCATGAGAGATGCATCACGTCTCAGGGCCTGTAGGTGCACTATGAAGCTTCGAAAACAACGTGAGCATCTCTCCTGCTTGCATTTCAGGGAGGTTTCCATAGAACTCAGCATCAAACAGCTTGGAATTAACATTTATGTGTCTTAACTTGATGCTGGGAAAATAATTCTATAATCTAATATGTCAACAGTGATCTCACTTAAAAATGCTTAAATCAGCAATAATGTACTCAAAAGACATTATTTTAGATATTTTGATACAAATAACTCATTTTATACAAATTAATAAGTTGTATAATACAGGAATCAATGATTTTATTATAGAAAATGATAATTTTAGAATCTTTTTAAAAAATGTATCACAATATAATGGAGTAACTCAAAAATCTCACATTATGAGAATGTCTGAAAAGGGATGAAATGTGAATCTGAAATGGATCAAATCAAACAGCAGACAAAATCTAATGTATGACAGTGCATTCAGTTTTCCATATACTGGAAAGTAAGAAACTACCTATTTTCCTCCAATTATGCTAGAAAATAAAAACATCCACAACCAGCTCATATCCAGTTCTAAAAAAAAAAAAAAAAAATCACTATACTGCTTGAAGTGGTAAATAGGGGACTAAAAGGAAGTATGTGGCTAAAAGGAAGAGTAAAAAGTTATTGAGAAAAGGGATGCAGAGAGGAGAAGACAGGAATTAGAAATACTAGGTCACAATAACCAAAAGAAGTTAATAAAAATCAACCAATCTCTAAAAGCAACATAATAAAATATTGTGTGGCAGAGGCTGGGTAACTGGATATGAAACACCATCAAAGAGGAGTTTGAAACTAAATGATACAAGTGACACTTATTTATGGCAGGAAGAAGAAAAAGGCATGAGCATGTCTGTCAGTGCCACTATAGACTTTTTAATCTTGAATCCTGCCAGTGCAAGGACTGCAGGTTTAAATAACTTAGGATGAGGACGTTGCTCAAAATAAAAACTTCTAAGTTCAAAATAAAAATTTCTAACTTCTAAGGCAGAGAAGGAAAAAAAAAAAAAAAAGAAAAAAGAAAAAAGAAACAAACCAGTAAATTTACTTCTGTGTGCTCCTGACCGTAAGTCTTATGTTCCATACTAACACCCGGGGCCACCATACTGCAGAGATGCGGCCCCACCACAAAGCAACCTACCACACGCACGCTGAGCTCAGCGCTGAGTGGACTGAGGTTGGAAGGGGCCTCTGGAGATCATCTAGCCCAACCCTTCTGCTCAAGCAGTCTTCCCTGGAACACATTGCCTAGGATCACATCCAGAAGGGTTTTGAAGATCTCCAGAGAAGGAGACTCGACAACTTCCCTGGGCAGCGTGTGGCAGGGCTCTGTGACCCTCTCAGGACTTTCATTTTTCCCTTATGTTTACAAGGAATTTCCTGTTTCAGTTTGTGCCCGTTGCCTCTCATCCTAGAAATACAAACCCTCAATTCCTATAGGGAGACAGAACAAAAAGCAAGGAATTAAATCCAATGCATTCAGTTTTCAGGGTAGGGAACTAAGCTCTCTGGTCATCCTGTCTGTTTCCTCAAGTCCAGAAACTGAGCAGACTATAGCACAGCCAGTCTTATCCTCCCTAGTATTCTGGCCAAGGACACCTCTGCATTTCAAGGAACAGTGCAAGACACACATCTCACTGTGCAAAACTCTTGTGGTGGGGGGACCTGGCAGTTTCGGTGCCCCCCAACACTCGTGACAGTTCTCCCACAGGAGGAAGAGGAGCAGAGGAGACTCGGGAGGAAGGAAGCCTAGCTTCCACGTAAAGGCGAGCCGAACAAAAGAAACAAAAGAAAGAGTGAAAGAGAGACACCCGTGCCCCTGGTGATCACTTTTAACTGGGCGCTTGAGCAAGCGGCCCCTGCCGCAGAGCGGCCCCCGTAACGGCCGCCCCGTAACGGCCGCGCGGGGGCGTTAGAGGCCGCGCCCGAGCCCGGGCGGCAGCGGCAGCGCCGGCGCCGCCGGCACAGCCGGTGCGCGAGCCCACCCGCCGCCGGCGCAGCGCGGGTGCCTCCCGCCCGCCGAAGCAGCGCTTCGCGCCCGGCTCCCCGCCGCGGCCCTTACTCTCTGCTGGGCGCGCCCAGGAAGCCGGAGCTGCTGCGGCTCAGCAGCTCCTTCCTCTTGCTCGCCTTGGAGGCCATGGCTGCGGCGGGGCGCGCGCCGCGTCCCCGCGTTGCCGGGCGACCTGGGGCGGCGATGGCGGCGGCGCCGCCCGCGGCCCGCGAGGCACCGCCCGAGCGCGGCGGGACGGGACGGGGAAGGCGGGAAACACCGTTTCCCGAGTCTCGTGGGTAGGTTCCGGGATCTTCTAAAGACAGAGCATTCAAAATACTCAAAGAAGCTACTGTAAAAGAACTGACACGTCACAGCTGTGCTAACTGCAGCACTCGGCCGCTGTTGAACAAGTGAAAAGCAAGAGCAAAAAGGACCCATTTGAGATGGTGGCATACTTTACTCGATGCTACTATATTTAAAACTAAGTTAAAAGCAAGCAAAAGCCCATTAGCCCTCGAGTTTGGGGAGGTTCTAGGGATGAAATGTGTGAACACTTGCTTGGAAATAAAAACAAAGTAAAGGGAGTAACTCTTGATAACGAAAGCTACAATTACTGAAGTGAATATAAATTCCAGAGTGATTTAATCTTTACATATACATACAGCTAACTTGAGGACTCTGCAGATACCAAACTTTGAGTGGACTTCTCACTTATACTGCCCCAATTTCTGTTTTCTAAATTACTCAACATATTTATTGTTTCTCAGTCTGTAGTACACAATGAAGGATTCCTGGTAGAATCAAGCAGGCCTGCTCACTCCACTCAAATAAGACCAAGTCTATCAAGAATATGAATATCAATGAAAATTTGTCAAGTCACATCATGAGCAGATCAAAAAGATAAAACGAAAAATATGCACAGCTGCAGTATCTAGAGGCTTATTGTAGACAAATATCAGATCTTGATTTATATCACAGATGACAGAAGGCCAGATATGTTTTCAAATTTGAAAGTGGAAAATTCATTAGTATCTTCACATTTCCTTCAGCACAACGTCCCACAGCATCGATTTTAAATGAGGCACCTTGGGACACTTCTCACTGGGAGACCCTGTAACCATTTCAGGTTTGTTTGTTCACTGTCAAACTGAGCAGCTAGTCTCCCTCCAGACAATTATTCTATCAAATACTCATCAGGACATGCAGATGAATAATGGCAGTCAGAGGTGAACTCAAAGCCAAATGCTTTAGCAGCCATGCAGGTCTTTTTTATTTATATATAAATAAACTCTGAGGGAGACCACAGAGATTGTGTAGTTGCCACAGCCCATCCTTGCAGACCCTGCTGGACATGGCTCTGAGCAACCTGTGCTGACAGGAAGGAATTGGACTGAGCAGTCTCTAGAGGTCACTTCCAATCTCAGGGATTCTATGATTATGGGAAGCTTTCCATGGAGAGAAAGGAAAAAAAAAAAGACCATAGCAGCTTTTGTAAGAACAGATGCTGTTGACCTCAATCATGAAGTTATGAAGTTGCTACAAAATTAGATTGGAGACAAGGAGAATGAAGAATGCTTTGGGTTTTTTTTTTTTTTTTTTTTGATTTTTTTTTTTTTTTGCATTTCTTCTATTAAAGAAGATATAGTTTCTGAAGTTAATTCATTTAGTAGATTTGAAAAAGAGGGTGCTCCAAATTCCACTGCTCTCTTCTACTTATTGACTAAGTGTAGAGAATAAGGAAGGTACAGATCAGTGGAAAATTGAATGGTGGAAGACAGTCTTGGCAAACTTCAGAAACAGCAGATAGTAAAAGGTTATCAGAAAAGGAGGAGGTTTGAGCAGAGATATTAAAGACCCAAGTGTTGACAATGCCTGAGAAAAAGGAGGACATGAAGTGTGTAGTGGAGGTGGGAGAAGCAGCCTATGGCTGCTGCGGTTACTCACAGGACAGCACTGAGCTCAACCAAAACCATCCTTCCACAGAGTGACTGAAACTGCTTACTGGGAGCTGCATTGCTGTCAAATCACAGGGTGAGATTAAGGGAGCAGAGAGGGAAAAGAGTGAGTATCTTGGGTAAACGGATGGAAGAAGACAAGATACCGGGAGAGAATTGTGAACAGATAGGTAACAGTTAGCAGTCACCTCCCAAGCACAGAACCTTCTGGCCTTTAAAAAAATTCTAATGATGCTGAGTCTCATTTGATCTTAGCGGGACATGACTTTTCTAGTATTGCAGTTGCCCTAGGAAGGGACAAACTCAGTTACTTACTGTTTTATCATTATATTCTCTCTACTGGAACACCTTTTGATCAAAAGGTTACAATATACTCCCTTATTCTTCAACCCACAGCTCATTTGGGGACAGGCAGTCAGACACTGGTAAAATATTCAGCAGGTGTCCAAGCACAATTTAAATGTACTATACAGTTTTACGGAACCACTCAGAAGCCTATATTTAACTTTAAGACAAAGCTTTTTCATGTCCTGGGGCTTATGCTTTGATTCGCTCAACTGAAATATTGCGGGAACAGAGTTGAGAGAAAAAACAAAAGCAGCTCACAGAATCAAGCAGTGCAATAGTTGCCTTTTCGTAAATTTACATTGGTGATTCACAAGAGGAAAATCTGCCTATATTGAAATGAAAAACATCCTGACTTTGAGATGCAGTGAAAACCCTAATGTAAAGTTTGCAGTAAGATTGGTAGATTAATATTTAAAAATGTGACTAATATTTCAAACAAAGCCAACAAACAAAACGATAAAGAGGGAGACTTTTTTTTCCCCCTCCTCTCCTTTCTTTCCCCTTCTTCCTAGGAGGGGATGTTAATCCCTACAGCAATCTTATTCCACACCTTCAGCCTTTATTCAGCATAATGACAACCATCTAACTCTCACCAAAGCTAGCTCAGTAGCTCTTAATCTAATTGTGCTTAAAAAACGATAATCAAAGGGGGAAAAAATCCAGCTTCACAGGCAATCTAACTGAAAACCCTTTTTCCTTAAACCTCTGAATACTAGGAGGCAGTGATGGTGGCTGCCTTGAGGCAAAGCACAGTTAGGATCAGGCAAAGTCCTTCGCCTGTACAAATAACTAGAGAAGCTTTAGCACTTAAACAGGCCAGTGCTATCCAGACAAGAGAGACTAGAAGCAGTCCTTGTGCCTAGTACAACTATTTCAGTATGACTGAGTCATACTCCCTCCCAGAAGTACCAACCTAATGTAAAATCATTCGTTCAGGCTACATTAATGTAAAGTTTACATATAATATGGGGAGGAGAGGTGGGAGACCAGGCATTTTGCCACATCAGTACAATAACAGCATTATCAAAATAATGTAACTAAAGATACTTACACATATTATGAGCAATGGAAATGGACCATGGAGCCCATGTACCATGCTTCCAAGCTTCAGTACCCCACTCTCAGACAAAAAAAATGAATGTTTACCTGGGTTGCTATAAGACCAACATTTTATACTGTAAGACTAAAGAAATGGAGCAGCAGGGAGACCTTGTTCATCTGATTGACATAAATCATCAGTTTACCATATGTGCCTAAAGTGTAAAACAAGTGATGTTTGTCACTTTTTGCTCACTTTGTTGCCTGAAGTCAAACTGTCTAAGCTTCAAATATTTTGTTTAATTTCTTTTAGGGTTAGCCTTCTGCTGGATCAGCTTCCCCAATTCCCACCTTTACAGTCTCACATGTAGTAACACTACTACCTGGGAACAGGACAGAAAATGACAGCGGCAACAGAAGGGAAGAAAATAAATCTAACTAGCAACTCACAGTGGCCATGTATTAAAGCTTCCCCCCCCCACCCACCCAAAGGAAGGCGGGGGGGGGAAAAGGACTTCACACATTAGCAAAGAAAAATGATACAATTAAGTTGTTTTGTAGGCTATTAGAATTAGATAATCTCAGCAAGTCTGCAGTAAATACAGTCTTGTCATTTGACACTTTAGATATTACTTCATTTTTATTTATAGCTCTTCCTGAACCTTACCCTGCCTCAGCCTCTCTACTATATCAAGAGTTGCACAGACCACTGTAGTTGGACAGTCCTGGCCACTCTGCATACATGTAAATGTAAGAACACAAGCCACACACAGAGCAGGAAAAGTGCTTGCACACAGCAGTAACAGTTCTTTCAGCAGAAGCTTAAAAATTTAAAAAGCTAGAACCTGTACAGACCATTAGCCTATAGCCATAACAGGAGACAGGGCTTACCAGTGTCACTGACAGGATCCCATGAAGAATAGGGGCTCCAGAGCTGGTCTTCATTCTACTATTTCAAGAACATCTTTTAACATCTGAAAACTGAAAGCACATGCTGATTTGTTGGCAAAAATAAAATTAAAATAAAAGCCATAAACCTTAGTCTTCCCTTAGCAGTTGCTCCAATGAGGTATTTAACAAATAAGTATCTGAATTTAGATTAGTTTTGTGTAGTACAATTCAATATATGAACAGGCAGAAGCAGTGGTATGTTCTTCCACAAGCAAGCAGTTTTGCATAAGAATGCATGCATCTAAAATATAATTTCATGCTACTGTTGCTTCAAATACATACATCATCTTTGACTGGTCACCAGCTGCTACTGTATGTCTTGATCTCCAGTGATCAAGCTATACACATGCTTCTGTTGCCAGTTACTGACTTTGTGCAGTTACGTTCAGAAACAGTATGGCTGGGAATAAGTGGCTTTAAAAGGCCAGTTTACAGTTCAAAGGGAGCTGCTCTGTAAGTGAATGGACAGGGATATTAGTTTCAGGTTAGGTAAAAGGACTCAGGACAATTCAGGATAAACAGTAAATAAGGAACAGGGATAAGGGGCAGCTTCCTTTCTGAGGTGACATAGGTTATTAAAGTTGGAATTGCAGACAACCTTTAATGCCCAGTAACTCTGCACAAGCCTAATGGAGACCAGTTCTTCAGTGGCACATAAAGGGAGGATGAGATGATGGACAAAAGAGAAGATCAAACTAAATAGAAATATTCAGTGAGGAAAGTCGAGCATTGGAACAGCTGTGCAAGGCTGTGCAGGCTCTATCATATTATGCAGTCTGGTGTCAAGTCCTCAGTGTGCTGGTGTGATCTCAGTTGACCTTGCCAGGGGTCAGAGGCTGAACTAGACAGTCTCTAACCTCCTCTCAACTGAGTTATCCTGTGATCCTAATCCAGCCAAAATCCAGTTTCAGCTTATGCCAAGCCTTACTGTAATAAAGGTCTTTGATGCGGCAGCCACTGGGGGAAAACACCCAACAGTTTTCAAATGCCAGTGAAACATTTATATATAGAGTAAGTTAGCATATGTAAAGTTTGAGCTCTCAAAAGCACACACCAACAATAAGATGCCCAAATATATTTATTTGTCTCTTAAAAATGTTCAGAAGACAGACAAGGAATTCTCAATACATATTGAAGTAGCAATCTGGCACAACTTATGCTTACGTTTAAACACCAATACATAAGGCCAAGCAAGCTAAGATTTCAGAAGTCAGTGGCAATCAAGGCAACAGGATTTAAGAAGCCCTTAAGATAAAAGTGGGCTTCAAAGCTTCTTGGCAAAGCAGAGCCAGAGTTCAAGAACATATGCATGAACTGTAAAAGCAAGTCTCTGCTCCCTTTTGATCTTCCTCTGCTACCAGCAGTGCATGCAAGTTGCAACAAGAGAGGAAAAAACCCCAAAAAGTTGAAGCATCTCAGTATACTGCGTTACAGACTGGTAAGCCAGTTCATCAGCTCCAAGTAGTCAGAAGAGTACAGCACTGTTCTAAAACTGAAAAGGTTAGAATTTAGGGGTTTTTAATTCATTACCAATGAACATCAATTTCATCTACTTTTTACAGCTCTTGCCAGTTTCAGTGTTAGTGCATTAAAGTTTCTTGATGCTTATTTCTCGGTGTGCATATGGGTGAGATTATCACTATTGTGCCAGCTGCACAACTGTATTTTTAATGTGTTTAAGTATTAGCTGAATATTTGCCTTAACGGCTAGAGATGCATTTTTGTTGATACCTCTGTAATATTCCCCATCCCTTCCCAAATACAGTCACTTTCTCATTTTGTTCTTATTTAGTGGCAAAATCTGCCATCTACTACTCATAGTGAACACACTAAGAAAAAATCTCCTGTCATTGGCAGTCAGCTATTTCTACCCATTTCAAGATCTCTATGATGTCTTGATCAAGGAGAATTAGCTATGAGACAGACTCTCATGATGAGGATAATAAATAGGAATAAGTGCAAGTGAAAAGTCAGATTAGAGTGGGACATCACTGGTGACAAAGAAAAAGTTTACAGCAGAGGTATAAGTGCTTATTCAGCTAAAACCATGCTGTGTGAGTCCTATTTGGATTATACCATGTTGTAGAAACAAACTACATATCAAATGTTGCCTTTGATCCTTTATGGGAAAGTGTAAACACTACCTTATGTTCTCAAGTAAGAAACTACTCAGACACAGCCACTGAAGAAAGTGGAATGATATCACTCACAACATACTCAGTTCCAGGATAAATGAGAATATGTAAACACCCACAAGCATCACCTATTCCAAGAATACCAGGCACCCCACGTGGATTGTCACAACGCAGCACCATAGCAGCTGTGTGATTTAAGGAACAGTCTTGCTGCTCATTCCATCATGTTCACACTGAGCAGTGGTAGCATTAGCAGCACTGTGATTTACTCTCCGCTTTCAACGGGTCTAGGTCCAGTTTTGGTTTCCCTGTGTCGTTCTCTTCATTAGGAAAGGTTTTGTAGTTTGCAAGGATGTTTTCCACCAAGAATCGAGCAGCTTCATCTATGTTGATGTTGTCCTAAAAGAGTTGAAGGCAAAGTCGTGAGGTCCTTTAAACAAAGGTCACACACATACTTAGTAAAAGCTGACCAAATGCAAACCCTTCTATATATACAGTCTCATAACCTTGACATACAGCTTAAATACACCAGATCATTGCTGGCACACTTGCTTTTGCAAAAAAATACTAGAAAAAAAAGATAGAGGTAAATACCTTTTTATAACATGTAGGATATTTTGACTCATCTCTAGACCACCTACCAGGTTCATGTCACTTGCATTTAGAAAGTTAGCAAGTACTATAGTGTTTCTGTGTAGCAGGAAGAATAGTATAAAATTACACAATTTTGTAACAGTATTCTACATTCTGGGGCCTTTTTCTGCCTTTGCTACAGTTTGAATGCACTTACTTATCTAAAAGAATATTTTTCTATGTCTAAAGTAGTAGGCCAGATGCCTAGAGCTACATTTCAGCAGCATACCTCAGATGGGCTCTTAGCTACAGCTTCTGAGCAGGCAAGGATGCCTTTTACTTTACCACTGGGGAACCACTTTTGGAACCATTTTTATTTTTTATATCAATGGAGATACCAAGACAATGCACTGTTTGGCCTCCATAAGGGGCTACACCAAAGACTAGGTCATAGAAGCATATTTAAGCAGTTGCTGTTGTAGTGTGAAAGCTCGTGGTTGACAGACAGAAGTTAGTTTTGTGGATCTGCAGGCAGATGCTTTTCTCTGCCCATGGTGGGGGGGGGATGAAGATTTTCTTCCTACTGGGCAGATGTTCACAGGATTTCCATGAGTATTTATATTCTCTGCAGATCTACTGCCTAATGCACTGCTAGTAGACACTAACATGACAACTAGACTGAATATTCAAATATCAATTGCTGATATTGATACACAGGAGTGTTAAGTGCAGCTGAAAAGTTGCACAGCTGAACTTTCAAGGAAAACACAACTCATAGCAGAATATTAAGAAAAAAAGGCTCTTTTTACTAAATCCTTCTCTTTCTGAAGAGCAGATGGGTGGGTTTAAAAGTTAATATGCACAAGTAATTACTTAATTTAACTTTAATTCCTGCCATTGTGTACCCTGCTTCCTTTTTTAAAGTGCAGTCAGGAAGAGACTTGTTGCTTTCTTCTTACCACATTCCTCTTGCAGATCTTTTCTTCTTTTAACGTTATCTAAGCATCATAAGATGCCAGAAATGGTTCACACTTACAAAACAGAACACTTTGTGCCAATTTGTCTCAGTAGTAGATGAGGGAAGTGGGCAAGTCAAGGGGAAAGAGTGGATCTTGTGATTTAGTGTATATGAACAAATTGAGACAAACAAGGAATTCAGTTTGTTGGGCACATTGATTCTAGAAGTGAAAGGCTGCTCTAGATGAGGACAACCAGATCACAAGGTCCTTGTTTTCTTTAAGCAACCATCTGATTCCATTTCTGACGGAAGAGCAAGCTTATAAGCATATTAGCCAGGTTTGTAGACCATACTTGTAATTTAGATGATATATTGTAAGGTAGTCATCTACCTTAGCTTAAGTTACTTTGCCAAGAGATTTATTGTTTTCAATTTCATTTTTGCTACTACATAGAAAGATACTGGATAAAAAGATGATTTGGTGGAATCATATAGCCCGATAATACAAATAAGCAAATAGCTTGTTCACTTCTGGAGTATAAACATTTTCTACATGCACCAGCGAAAAGCTCAACTTAAATTTCAGTTAAATATTATTCTTCGACACTCTGATCAGTGTTCAGTAGCACTACCGTCTAAACCACACTGATCCTTGACACATGCATAATCTTAGACTCATTCAAATCAATTAATTCAAGATTTCTAGTTAAGTTCAGAGGTAACCTGAGGACTACGATGCAGTTCTTATCTAAAAAATAAATATGTTGCAAGATTTCCTTAGCAGTAAGATAATCCACACACCAATGTTAACTTTAATAGTCCAAGTCTCCAGTGCTTAGCAGTTTGTGCATCCAAGGAATTTAACATTTAAGACTCACCTTGGCAGAGGTTTCAAACCACCCAACGAAGCCACCTTCTCTGCAGAATTGGTCCATTTGGGAGAGATTCTGGCTGCCATCCTTTTTCTGGTCACACTTATTTGCGAGAAGAACTGCAGGGATGGGGCTGCCATTGGGAAGTAGCACTTTACTGTCCAAATCGTGCTTCCATTTTGAAACAGCCTCAAAAGTGGAGCCTCTTGTGACATCAAAGACCACAAAAGCCCCAACTGCCTCTTTGTAGTACACTCGTGTCATGTTTCCAAAACGCTCCTGGCCTGAAAGAGAGTGACAAAGAGTTTATTTTTAAGCATCGCCTGCAATAATGGTAAATGCATTTTAGTGCCAGGTTAGTAAATATGAGTTTAGTATTCAGAAGTAGTCACCTAGTTTATACAACATAGCTCTGCCTCTACCCTCCTGTGTTAGTGAGCTATTATGTATGTGATGTATGACAAGACTCAGATGCCAGTTGTTTTGCATTTCCACTACTATTTACCAATTATTTTACTTGTAAAATAGTGTTCCTTAAGAGAAAGGCCATGACTAAAAATGCTACCAGCACAACTAGTCCCAAATCTCTTTCCTCAGAGAAAGCATCTACATATAACTGAGGTATTAGCCTGGTTTCTCCATATAAAACCTATAATGTATTTTCAATAGGGATAAGCTGAAAAAGGAGCCTTTAGTTCCAGCTTTGGCATTTATCTGGAAGTCAAACTGTAGGTTTCAAACTACAGCAAGCAGTCACAGGATTTGGCGCAAGATTACCAAGACCAAAAAAAGACAGTTATTCATAACAAAAATACCCCCATATGCTAAGGAGCAGAAAGATCAAGGGGCCGCTCCCCCGAGCAAGGCTGGCAGCTGCTAGACTGCAAGGGCCACATTTGCCTTGTGGCAGAGCAGCAGACAAGACAGATGAATCTCCTCACGGAGTCCTGACCGGGAGAGGCCACTGCGAGGAAGGCTGTTGTAACCAGGCTCTGTGGGAAAACACAGAAGCCAGGGTCGACTTTGAGACAGGTTTTCTCCTTATTGTATGATATGACGACACTTCTGGCGGGAAAGCAAGCCCACGACACACCTGCTCTTTGCCTTGAGACCAGTTGGTGCTTTACAGCATCCGCCTGAAAGAAGTGCTCCAGCTCCCCAGGAAAAGTATCAACTTCCAGTTGGTTTACTGACAGACATCAAGTTATTTGCTTTTACACTGAAAGTTTTACATTTGGAATAACATTAACACATACTCTTTTGTACTTTATACTTAGGTGAAAACTAAAGACAGATAGGCCCATAACACCTAGCAATGTGAACAAGCCAAATCACTGCTTACTGAATTTCAGTTTTGCCTGCAAGTGTTTGATATTTCTTTACCCTGAAAACCACTACTGTTATTTAAATTAATAGTCCCAATATGCTCCAGTATGGAGTGCTCCTCCGTTCTGAAGTAGCCCAAATGTCATAAGCTTTTGAATTACATGGAGAACTGCTTCCACCTCACTTACATGCATTGATGCTAGACTTGATCCACATACTAGTTTATGGCTGCTTTTTTATATCATCTGGAGTCTTACAAGGAAGTAAATGTTCTTTGTATTAATCTAAATAAAGAGATGGTAGAATACGGCTTGCCTGCAAAAGCAAACTGCAGAGCATTTTACTCTTTCAAAGTCTGCAGGTCTGAACATCATTCTCTGCTTCTGATTGAAATTGTAAAATGACTCCATTTTCACCGTGCCCTGTCCATACAGTGACTTGTCATCTCCCTCCCTAAGGCAAGCAGAACTTTCGTTGCCTCCTCACATGGAGGAATGACTAATATTGAACAGTACATAAAATAGATCAGACACTCAGATGGGAAAAGGATAGAAGTGACCAGAAGAAATTAGACTTATTCCTGTCCCGTTCCTTTCATGATTCCATGTACCCTGAGTTTAAAGCTACCTGCTTACAGCAGTAAGCAAGCAGTAAGCAGTTACAGCAGTACTCAGAAGAGACATTACAGGTTTAAACATGGTGGTAGGTCTAGCTCTTTGACACAAGCCTAGTGGTACCAGACGGGTATCCATCCATGTTCGAGGAGATGACTGGCTAAGCTATAGGACAGTCTTACACATTAATTTTTTTTTTTTTTTTTTAAGATATGACAGTGGCCACATGCAATACAGTTCTGCATTCTCTAGCCACACAATTTCCACATCTAAATGACTCAGCGCACTTTGTCACCTTATTTTTTAGTAATTGCAACAACATTAAGCGAAATAATTTCATAATGTCATATATGAGGAACTAATGAAGTTCCATGCAGCAGAATCCTAGCAACTGAGTTTAAAGTAAATTTCTATCAGTGTTTAAGAGCTTTCCAAGTTGCATTTTGGAAGAGCTAAAGAGCTAGAGATTAAAAAAAAAAATAAAAAAAAAAATCTATATACATATATATAGCCAGTTCTATTACTTCTCCACAAAAGTTAAGGCATTTAAAAGGACAAAGAAAGGTTACCACCAGATTCAGAAAATACAAGTCTTGCCTTGAAAAAGAGGTAGAAGTTTCTACAGCAATCTTTCCCTGCCTAAGGAATAAACAAGGGAGTCCTGTTTATCACAGCAGTGAGACTGATCATTGTGCCAGTTTTGCTTTAGTTAACAGAAGCTACCCTGTGCTCCTAACATTATTCTGCTCAACTTCTGTTTGAATTGAGGAAATAAAAAAAGTTAAATTCAGAAGCGATTGCTGAATATAACATGCTATTAAGTCTCCTTCTCCCAAATTACTTACCATACTTAAGGGTAGATTTAAGTCTTAAGACAACTGTTATGCATACCAACATGAACGTCAGTAATGAAGAACAAAACGGCCAGTCTAGAAAAAGCCTCCCCAGCTCTATTTTTGTTATGGAAGTGAATTTTGGCTTAACCTGTTCTACTGATGGAATTGACAAGAAGTTCACCTACCTTGCAAAAGCTAAGCTTAGTCAGTTCTGAAACTATGCAACTCTGTCAGAGTAAGCAAAGTTTAGTTACATGTAAACCCTTTAAGCTTATCAGAAGAACTACCACTGGACAAAATCTAAGAAGTCTCTGATGAGACCAACAATTTCAAAAACTTCCTGAACTTAAATCATTCAGGAGAAGCAGAAAGATGACCCAAGGGTTATAAAAGCTCCAAAACAGGAAGAATGAGGGAACAAATAAAGGCTTTTGCTTAGCTCATATTAGCTGAACTCTTCTTTGACAGGCTAATCAGCTTAATGGATTGCCAGAAGTTGATATTGGACTATTTGATGTAGACCTGTCAATTTGTTACTTACACAAGTCAAATTGAATCCAGACTGCAGTCACTCCCCCAAAAACCAAAGGCACGGCTAGCTGAAGAATTCTGTTTCCGAGCTGTCAGAATGCTGCACAATACATTTTGCAGTTGCCTCTGCATCCAGTACACGGAATTTCCTGGTAAGTAGTGAGGATTTCTCAAATATGAATAAGGCCAAGCACTTACTGCTAACATTTTGTCCTTCAGAGTGATAAAACTCAGAGTTTAGTTAATTTAAAAGCCAGTTTAATTTCAAGAAAAAGGAATGTCATACAGAAGATACATAAAACAAAGCTAAGAAATACCCAATAGCATTACAGTAGTTAAAGAAAAACGCAATCAGGAGACCTATGGGATCAAAAATTGAGCAAGTTAAGGTACATTGAAATAGCATCCTCCTAAGGTGCTTGAGAGGCTCTGCTTTCCTGTCCTCAGGTGAAGCTCAAATACAGTGCTCTACCATCAAATGATTTTGATGCTTATCAAACACACCAAATGAGTATAATGAAGGGCTTAATTCCATAAATAAGTAAATACTCTTCTTCCACTGCAAAAAGTTCTTTCTCAAGGATCAACTATTCTAAATGATAATCCATAGTCAAGGTTAATTATTCTAAAATTTTAGGTTGTTGCTATTGACACTTCTTAAGATTTCTTAGAAGCTTCTTGGGCTCACAGTTTAAATACTTAGAAAAGCCTCTCTCAGAGGCTGAGGTATTTTAAGTTTTCTTGCTGTAAGAAAGCACCACGGCTACCAAGTGCTCACTACCAGCTCTCCCTTAGCCTCTCTGCTTGCTAGTGTAGACAGCACCTCTGTTCAGACCTTAATGCCAAACTAGAAGTTAGTTCTTTCAAACAGCTCTTCAGAACTCAGCAGCAAGTGCTTTTATTTAGCCCAGACAGGAAAATAATGTAATATTTTTAATAATTATAATACATGTAACAACCAGTTTAAGTTGAAAACCCTTCTTGCCAGTATTCCCCTGACAGGGGAAGGTCTAACTTAACTAAATAAGGAGGTCAGGACCCTTATCTCTGTTCTGCTGCTCTACAGAAGATTCAGGTCTCTGCATTTCTACAGTCAAATTCACACATAGTAAAGTTATGAAATATCTGAGTGGCAGCTCCTTATTCTTGATTCCAACAGTTTATTAGATTTTTCAATGGAGGTAAATTTAAATCAAAGGAGCATCCAAATGACCTGACATGCAGCCCAGCCCTGGCCCTGCAACATCAGCAAGTTTTACAGAACTTAGGACCACCATCCCTTGGGAGCTGTAGGCAAGAACACCCTCCATGTCAGATGCCTGTTGGCCCTATACCTGACTGCTTGGCACAAGACAGCCATTATCCAGCAGTGCCCAGAGGGTGCATCTCCCATTTCTCCAGACACCTAATATGCATTTTAGCACTGCAAGGGTCAAGTGAAAGCCAAGTGTGACTCCAAAGGAGACAGATACAGTAATATGGTACTGACAAGCCACTACTGCTGACAGTCTTTTTCTCAAAACCTGCACAGCTTGACCAAGAAGTGTCTCACTCAGATAGGCTTCTATTCAGAGGAGGAAGTAGGTTAACCAAACCACTATCAATGTGACAGGACATGCCCAAGCATGTCACATGGGGAACAACTTTAGATGACTAGAATAGTGAGTCTGACCCAGAGACAGTCAGTGCTAGATGTCTCTCACCTCCTCATCCCTTCTGTTTAAGCTATATGTGCAAAGTTGCCAAGCATGTAGACTACACAGGTGTTGAACTGTAGTTCGAGTTGTAGCAGTATGTAGGAACCTCTAAGGGCTACAAAACGCACATCCAGGCTGAGTCTTGCTTTCCTCTATTATGCAAGTCATATTTGGGATCTGTGGTTCTGCTGACAAATGCCAAGACACTATAAAGCAAGAACTTAAAATATTTTCCTAGATTACCCAATAATAAAAGTTTTCTGACTTCAGCTCTTAGTTT